ACACCTCTGCAGAGACCCTTAATCACTGACTGTTAACTATCCTGCACCCACCTAAGAAGTGTGTCGGTCACTTTACTTTCTATCCAACCCCCCAATGCCTTTTGCCTTCTGCCGCCTCCCTAATCTATCACCAGGGATTTCATGTAACCCCCTTACGTCTCCTCTTTTGATTGAATGTATAAAACAAGGTACAAACTGCCATTCTCTGGGGCACTATCTCGATCCGTTCCGTTGAGATTCAGCTTCCTCCCCAGCCTATGTCGTCAGTTTGGCTCAAATAAACTCATAAAAATTCTCTACCGGTTTGGACTTTTTTTTTTCCCCAGGGACAGTGATGGTGACAGTAAATTCTTCCCCGGTGTGTGGTCCCAGGAGAACCCAGGCCCTGGGTGCCTAGAGGCTGGAGGTGGGGTCTGGGGAGAAGGGCCAGTCCCAGAAGGATCCGAGCTAGGAGCAAGCAGGGTGTGTCCAGCCCAGATCCAACAAGGATTTCCTGTGGCCCCTTCCTGTCACCGCACTGACTCAGAGCCCACGTGCATGGCTAAAGCGAGGCAGGTGAGTGAGCAAGGCCTGACCCTCGGGCAGGTCCCTTAATAAGGGCAAAGGCAAGGAAATTTTCTACACACACACACACACACACACACACACACACACACACCAACAAACCAAAAAACTGGGAGACGATTCTGCAGGAAAATTGAATGTTCTCCTTCCGGAGGGAACCAACACCCTAGAGCAGCGATTTTCAACCGTTGTCACCTCCTGGCACACGTGAACTAATTACTAGAATTCTGTGGCACACCAAAAAATTGGTATTTTTTTACCACTCTGACCCAAAAGAGAGGTACGATTTTGATTCACTCACACCAGGCAGCTACTGTGCTGGCTGTTGTCATTTTTTTACTTGACAATGTAAAGGAAAGGGGTCAGTGCCCCTGAGTAGTCAGGCTCTGCGTGTTTTAAAAACTCTCAAGGCACAGCAGTGCGCCAGGGCACACCAGTGGACAATCTCGGCCCTGCGATGTAGAACACGTAACCAGACGCGGAGATGACACACGGCTACAGGAAAGGGACTTTTCATTGACTGCTTCAGTTTACGGGCAGCACATCCCCCTGCACCGTAGCCTTTGATCCCTGGGGCAGCCCTACAGCACAGGACAGACAGGTTCTTGACTGCTGGAGAGGAGGTTTCCTTCTTGCAGTGGGTGACAATGCCACTTGGTGAGGTTGTCAGGAGTGAATTCAATGGTGTAGCTAGCAAGTGAATCCACACATGCTGGCTGAGAAAAAGCTCCCTAAGATGTACTAATAAGTGAGGGAGCAAGGGTCAGAACAGCAGGACCGTCACATGATGCTTCTGTGGAAAGCGGACCAAACTCGCTGCCCAGCTGGGCATCTGTACCCTGCCGGGCTCCGTAAGCCCCGCCCTCCCCGTCTCCTGTTTGACACGCGGGACACCCGCTCTGCGCCCCAGTCTGCCGCCCCCTGCAGAAGGGCGGCTAGGTGGCAGTTCCCTGGGCAGCACTCCTGCCAGGGCCTCCGGATCGGATCGGCGCCCGGCCGCCTCCTGCCCGCGCTGGGAAAGCCCTGGCCGGGAGCCGGTCAGGGGCAAGAGGACTCTCTCCTTCCGGTCAAGGGGGCTGAGCTCCCTAACTCTGCAAGCGGCCCTGGGCAAATGCTGGAGAGCCAGAGCTGTGCCAGTGAGTAAAAGGAATGGTGTGCCAAGTCCCTTGACCTCGGCCACCCTGGCTGAGCAGGAGGCCCAGTCACCCGGGATGGACCACAGACCTAAACTCCGAGTCCAGGTCACTTTCAAACGCCAACAGCCCCCCTCCCACTTCAGTTCCCAAGTTTGCACAACCCCCACCCTCAGCCCCTTATTTCTAGAAGGAAGGGGGCAGGTGTGTTTAGCATGGAGAAGCAGGTAGAGGGGAGAGGCTTTTCAATGTTACCAACATGCCTGAAGCCGGCCATTCTTGACCTGGTAAGAAAGGGCCCAGGAGGGTCCTGGAGCCCACCCCAAACACTGCTTTGGAAAGTCTTCACTAAAGGCTCTTCTACCTTACCCAACGGTCTTTTCCGGCTGCCCCAAAGGCACGACAATTCAGAGATAATCTCCAACAGTTTCCCTTCCTGTAGATCTCTCTAGAATTCCAGGGAGCTTATTCAGAGGTAGGGGCTGCAGGCAAATAGCCTGCTATTTGGGAGAGCTTAAAAATGCTCGCTGTTAAACCACACATCTGCTTTAAGGTCAGTGATTTGGGACCTTGACAGCAACAGGTCTGGAGTTTTTCTTTATTAAGGGTGTATTTCATACACATCTCAAATTCATCACCCGAACTCTAAATCCACCCCTCCTGTCCCCCACGCAGCTCAGGACATGGAATCTCCATTTGACCTTGGGGTCAGGTTGGAAATTCAGGAATTGCCCCTCTCACACCACATGGGCCCCCACCTCTGCCATCCCCTCCTCGCCTGCAGTCTCCCACCCTGGGGCCTCCTCTACAGAGGGAGCCTTTGAACCAAGTAGGAAGAGGGCCCTCCTGCGGTCAGTGGTTCCCACGAGTCAATTCCAAAGTCTGGGCTCCAGCTGACCTCCAACTTCCCCTCCTCAGCCTGGGCCCCGGCTGTTCCTTCACACCCAAACACTCCTGCCTCAGGGCCTTTGCACTTCCTGTCTCCTCTGCCCAGAATGCTCTTAAGCATTCTAGACACTTGCCTCATTTACAACCCAAATCTCTTCAGATTTTCTCTACGGTCCCTTTGCAGAGAGGCCTCCCCGACCACCCTGCAGAAAACATCCCCATCCCTGCCTCCTTACCCCTTTTCTTCACAGAATGTAGATATTCTTAAATTTGTGCTTTTGCTCTCCCCCTCTCTACGATATAAGCTCTATGAGGGCAGACTGTGTGTCTCGGTGGCTGACTCCCGGCACCAGGGACGAGGCTTGGTACACAGGGTAGAGAACAGAGCGCTGCTGGGGTGATGAGATCAACCCCACTCCTACCTCAGGCCTCAGCTCGGATGTCTCTTCCTCAAACACCAACCCTGCCATCCACCTGCCGCCGTGTATTCCTGGGACCTCGGATCTCACACGCAGATCAAAACATGCAACGCACAGGTTCTAATGTAGAGGGTCACCACCTGCGTCGCCTCTGGTCCAGGGGTCGGCAACTACAGCCGAAGGGCCAGACTCCCGCTGCCTGTTCTGGAAAGCAGCTTCCGTGGGCACAGCTGGCTCCTTGCCTGTACGCCCGTGGCAGCAGTGGGGCTATCAGGAGGGAGGAGCTGACGAAGACCTTCTGGCCCACGCACGTGTCTGAAATGTTAGCAACCCAGCCTTTTCAGAAAGTTTGCTGGCATCTTTACCATCAGAGGAAGAAGAGAAAAAACACAGGAGGCAAGACAGGCTGGCGGGTGGCTAGGCTGACAGCCAAGCGCCGCTCGAAGGGCTTAGCCGTCTCCGGAGCTCGGCGTTTCCAGAGGCCTGGCCGTTACTTCACTCCTGTGTGACTGTGTCCGTCCTTAACAGAAATGGAACAAACAAGAGCAGGGGGATGTGTCGGCTCCTGTCGGCAAGTCCAGGAGTTGTCCTGCTCGGGCACAGCTGGGCCTCGGGCGCAGCAGCGTGTCAGCACTCCACCCCCGCGTCGTTCTCACATGACAAGGTGGCCCACGGTGGCTCCAGGGTTGCTGCCTGCCCCCCGGCCACCCAGCACAGGGCACGCCAGCAGTTACGAAGGCAGAGGCCTAGAATCGAACCTCACTGGCTGACTGGTCTCAGCTGGGCCACACGGTCAGGGGTATACACGGCTCTGATTACTGACTGGCGGGCCCTGGGTCAGCTGCCCACCTGGTGCGTGTTTTACCCACCGCCGTAGCAGCCGGGTGGTTCTCATGGGGGAACAGCTAGGAGCCGTTACCTGAGAAGGAAAAACAGGCTGCAGCGGGCTCATAAAGCTTTCAACTCCATCTGAGGCCCCTTCTGCAATCTTCTGCAATGGAAAGAGGAGCTGGTTTCCAAAAACTCACCATGACAGCGACTTCGCTGGCCTTTTTAACAGCCACTGAAGGTGCAGCGTTAACCCAGCAGAGTGACCACAGCCTCTTCAATCCTGTCTATGACTTTAGTCCTTACGTGCACAATGTGTTAAAAGGGGTGTGTGTGTCTGTGTGTGCGCGCCTCCCCACACCAACAAAACTGGGATGCCAGCGGCGTGTCTGAGAACTCTCTCCATTCTGACACTACCCGGGGGGAGAATCGGAGGCCACAGGTAAAGGGCCCAGCTCACAGGCCACCCTCACTACGGGCCAGCTGCGAGCCCAGGCTGTTACCCATGCTTCTGACCAACCAGCTACAGATTAGAGGGTCCAACAGGCCCCTCCCTGGGTTTGAGTCATTTGCTAGGACGGTCACAGGACTCAAGAAAACCCGTTAGTCACAGATTACCGACTTATTACAAAAGGTATTAAAGGCTATAATCAACACCCGGATGGAGAGAGACAAGGGGCAAGGCTTCGAGGCAGGAGGTCTGTCCTTGTGGAGCTTGGGGCCGGTGTGGTGGCGTGTAGAAGAATCTGGTTTCCCAAAATGGAAGCTCCCCAAAAAAGGGATGACCTGTCCTTCCAGGGTTCATGGAGGCTCCATTATAGTCACAACAGACTAGGCCACTGGCCTTCCCTCCCAAGAAATCAGGTGCTACCGAAAAGTCCGGTCTTCTCACCACCACTGGCTCCATGGACAACCAGCCCCCACCCGCGGGTGGGATCCAAAAGCAACCTCATTAACACAACAGACACCGTGATCACTCTCAACACAGAAATTCCAAGGGTTTGGGACTGTGCCAGGTGCAGCGAAGACCAAGAACACATTTCTTATTAAAAATCACTATCACGCGTGGCCGCTGTGCTAATTTCAGCAGCTGTATCAGCTCAGAGCGGCCCACGAAGTGGATGCTGAATTTAGTTTCACAAAAGAACAGGAGACAGGCAGGAACAAGTGGCAGTTCTTTAAAGGTCCTCTTTATTCTGCCATCCAGGCTCTGAAATGTGGGGACACAGCTGCGGGTGGAGGGGTCTGTGGAGGGGCTTCACACGCTTCACGAGGACAGCGCCACGGCTTCTCTGCACAGTAACGTGGGCACAGGGAGGACATGTGACAAGCAGCCTGTTCCTAACCCACTACCAAGTGCTGGTCTAATCTCTGAGCACAAGCGGAGCCTTCACCTGCGCAGCCACCTCCTGGCCGCTCAGCGCCTCGACAATAGCGAGAGCAAACTCGAAGCTGGTGCCGGGCCCCCGGCTCGTGAGGATCTGGCCGTCCCTCTCCACGCGGCTCTCCGAGTAGCTGTAATGACCTTGGATGTAAAAATAAAAGGGTTACGTGCTAATGGGCTACAGTGGACAACAATGAGTTTCAACAGTTCCTTGTTACTACAGCCTGTCACTGGTCTTACATAAATAAATTCAACAATTGGGCACTTACTCCAAACCCTTCCGAGCACAGCAGGAAGGTGAGAGAAGCTGTCGCAAAGGGCAGGAGACCAAACAGCTGGTGAAACCAGGCCCATGAACACACATGCTACTAAGTTACCTGCAGCTGCATAAGACCTTGCAAGTGTCCAGGGAGAGGAAATGCTATTTACTCTGTACCTGTTACACAACAAATGCCCACGTGTCAACTCTGTACCCTGAAGGGTAGCAGATCATGCCCCCCAAATATGACTGTAGGAGTTTAGGACACGACCCCCCCAAACATGCCGCTTTGACCTATTATTTGGAGCTGTAGGCACCCGAAAAACAGCCAATGCCGAGAGAGGCTTTCTCTGAACTCCCCTTATCTGCCTCAACACAGATCCTCCAGAAGGGACTCCGTGGTCATAAACCCTCCCAGGAGTTTCATTAACCAGGGAAGATGGACTCTTATCACAGGCGAGGAGGCCAGGAGTCAACACCACACCCAGACAGACTTCGTCACAAACTATCACACTTCCCATCTACTCTCCGCAGGGTCCATCCATCCCCACCCCCCTTCCTCTCCCGATGGTATCTAAGCCCGAACTCTAAGCCACGTGGTGAAGTTACTAATTTTTCCCTGGGCCTCTCCCATGTACACGAGGTAGACATGTTAATAAACTTCTCTTTGTTTTTCTCTCGTTAATCTGCCTTTTATTACAGGGCTCTGGGCCAAGAGCTCAGAAGGGTAGAGGGACAACTGCTTTTCCTTCTCTGCAAGATGCTAGAGGGGAAGGGGACTGAGGATGGAGCAGTGCTGACAAACTACCTGTGTCAACTCTCTGCTCTCTCAAAAACAAATAAGTACAGCAAACATGGTGGGAGGGGGAGACTGGAGGGAGGCACCGCTCATTTCTCAGGGACCATGTTCCTTCTGCATTGCATCCCTCCCTTGGTGGCATTTCTGCAAATACAGTAACAGGAAATGTGCTTCTCCTACATTTGGGCAAGACTCAGACCACAAAGGCGGGATTCCTCTGCACGGACCCCAGGCTTCTCCCCAGCCCAGACAGTCATCAGACCCTCCCACTGCACACAAAACCCGTCCCCCACTTGTCCCCATCACTCCCCACATGGAACCCCCATTATGAGCATGCCCCAATCTTCCTACCCCAGGGAGACCTGCACTGGCTGCTCCCTCACCCAGAACACTCTAATAACAACTTGCTCCTGTTGCAGTGTCAACACTGAGAGGTGTCTGTGACCTCCCTCCCAAACTCAGGGTCTGGCGTGCACACAGACACTGGACTGGAAGGAACCAGAAGGGGATAGAAAAGAACCTGCCATCCAGGTGGGAACGGTGGCAATGAGGAGGAAATGAAGGTTTGAGATGTAGCTTAGAGATAAAATGCCCAGAACTTAGAGAAGGACTGGACACGGAGAGGCGTCAAAGATGACTTCCAGCTGTCTGTCCCGGGCAACTGGGTGGATGGTGGTGCCACGTAGAGACATGGGACACGAAGGACAAGAGATTTTGGGGAGAGTTAATGATGAGGAGGGTCCTCTGTGAAATCTTGCCATATCCTGTCTCTGCAGCTAGAGCCAAGCCCACAGGCAGGCACACTTCTGACCACCTTTCCTCCCTACCCCCAAAAGCAGTGCAGCCATGGCTAGTCTCTCCCACCCATCTGAGGGAACCCACTCCCACAGCCTACGGAGGGCGCAGGAAAAGCCTGCTCAATGAGCACACACAGAAAAAGCCACCTAACAACGCCCCTTGCGTGGAAGCATGATGCTGTTGCTATGTGGGCTTCAGAAGCCGCACACTGACACTCCCGCCCTTTCAAGGTGGACCAACTCCACCGCTAACAACTTGTCTTACTTTCCTCGTTAAAAATCAAGTCACCACTGAGATAACTGAACACAGTACATCAGAATCTCCTCACTGCACCACTGTAGCGTTAAAGAGGATCCCTGGTCTGGGGAAAGGTTTTAGAGGTTTTCATAGCCTAACCCCACTTAAAACAGGTCAATTTCATCTCAAAGGCTCAATGAGAAAACCGGCTGAGCTGGGTCTTTCTTCCAGGGCTGTGGGACAAACTGCTGGACTGGGGCAGCGTGAGGCACAATTCTAAATGGTTCACTTAACAACAATCTCTTAGTGGGTAAAATATTACAAACACCACTTAAACTGGTTAAAGATGTTAAAAGATGTTCCATGGTGCGTCTCAAAATTTCAACCAGGAAGAGCCAGCCAATGGTCGGCTCTTGTCCACTACCGCCACCTAGTGGCAGCGAGGAGGAACCAGCGCACGCCCACTCTCCCGAGCAGGCAGGTCAGTTGGTGCCGATTCGGTACTTGGCGAACTCACACCTCATAATCAATCTGGCACAGGGCATTAATTTCCTTTAACTGTAAGCAAAGTCCCAAAGCCAGCAGCCTCTTCAAAGAAAAAGCTCCTGGGAGGTGAGGGGCAAGGAGTCAGTCACTAACACGGCTCCTACAGTCACCCACCCCAAGATTTGGTCGGTGGCTCCTTTAGAACGGCCACAGACCAGAAGTCACTACAAGCCTGCCCAGGCCTGCCATTCAGTATCTGTCTAACCTCTCTGAGCCTCACTTTTCTCTCTTGTAAAATTGAGATGATACCAACCTAACAGGACTACTGTGGGAACCCGATGAAACCAATCACTAGTACAGAGTGGGGTTGGCATTACTAGATAGTGGCAGGGGAGGGTGGCCTGTGCACTGCTGTCCAAGCTCGCCCTCCTCCACACGGGCTCGGGCCAGGCAGTGTTCTAAGTGGGTTAAACTCACTGAACCATCAACAACCCTATGAGGCAGGAGCTACTGTTATATTCAGACGACATGAGAAGGAAACGGAGGCTCCGCGAGGTCAAGGAACCCGCCCAGTTGCACTGTGAGTGGTCACCTGGCTCCAGAGACCCCTGGTCCTCACAGCTGTGACCAGGCTTTCAGGTGCTCACTAAAACAATGGACAAGTGAAAACAGAAAAAAAATTCGAGTCAAAACTTATTTTAAAAAGTGAGAAATGGAACGACTTTGTCCCTCAGGTAGGATTGCTTATTTGAATAAAAAATCTCATACTGATCTGTTAAGTTTATGGTGACGACCAGGAGGGCCTTGCCCAAGGAGACACTTGGGAAATAGTCATACCTCCATTTCTCAGAATGTTCTGAAGGGGCAGAGGTTTCAAACACTTTTTTTCTTACAATAGGGCTACTAACTTCAATGTCTGGTAACTTAGTTCTGGCCTGACTCTGGGCAAGTCGCCTGGCCTTTCTGAGCCTATTTCCTCATCGATAAAGTGATGACAACGCCTGCCTGCTGGGGACAGGGCACTGTGAGGCTCTGTTGAGATATGTGGGATCATACTCTGTAAACACCTGAGAGTCTGTAACCTCATTTTTCCCCACTCGACTGACCTGCTTGTTCCCGAGGCATCACGGGAATACAGAAACGACAGATATGCCTCCAGGTCATGGAGGAATAGGTTCTACTCAAGTCTTCTTTCTAAGGTGTCATGACAACTACAGGAACCCTGGTTTGGTTCTTTGCAACCCTCCAAAATCTCATCAGCTCAAAGTTAGTCAAACTCCTTTGTTAAAAAATGCTCAGAAGTGAAAGCCTTTTTTAAAAGTCAGTTTTCACACAGAGAGTTATGTCAACTTAGTATCCTTCTAGCAACTAAAATAAAATCATAGGTTTTCAAGAAAGTACTACTTTGGATCGAATTTAAGAATATGCAGCCCAGCCAGGTGTGGCTCAGCGCTTCAGCATCGACCTAGGATCCAGGAGACTGCAGTTCAATTCCCAGTCGGGGCACATGCCTGGGTTGCGGGCTCAGTCTCCAGTGGGAGGTGTGCAGGAGGCAGCCAATCAACGACTCTCTCATCATTGATGTTTCCATCTCTCTCCCCCCCTCTGTCTTCTCTCTGAAATCAATAAAGACGGATTTAAAAAAAAATGTATGCACAAAGTACTACATACACCAAGAGTGAACCTAAAGCAAACTACGGGCTTTGGCTGATGACGATGTGTCAATGTCAGTTCACGACTGTTACAAATGTACCACCTGGTGCAGGAAAGGAAGTCGTTGGTGACAGAGACTGTGCATGTGTGGGGGCAGGGGTTTCACAGAAACTCTACTTTCTGCTTAATTTTGCTGTGAACCTAAAACTGCTCTAAAAAATAAGGTCTATTAATTTTTTATAAAAAGCAGTATAATGACAACGCATCACTTTGCTGTGAAGAGGTAACGTAAGGTATGTTAGTTGCTGTCCTTTGTATTTTATTTTTTAAGTATGTCTCTTGATTTCAGAGAGAGGAAGGGAGAGGGAGAGAGGAAGACAGAAACATCAATGATGAGAGAGCCATTGATTGGCTGCCTCCTGCACGCCCCCAACTGAGGATCGAGCCCGCAACCGAGGCACGTGCCTTGACCAGGAATCAAACCGCCATCTCCTGGATCCTAGGTCGATGCTCGACTGCTGAACCATGCCCACCGGGGCCTTTGTGTTTTAGTTCAGAGTAAGCGCAGAGCAGGACTGAGAAGGGGAGAAAATGGATCAGTTGCAAAGTCAGCTTTTGATACTATTTTGTCTTGTTTGTTTAGTCAATGATTTTTGGCTGGCTGGTGTTTTAAACCCAGTTTCCGCACTAGTTGAACGCCAGGTGAAACACATTTGGCTTGTAACTGGAAATTTCTGGTTCTCTTGCAATTTTCCACATAGGTGTGATTTTTCTTTCTCCTTGCACATTCCAGGGTCTCTGTTACATGCACTCCAGGCACAGATGGCAGAGGAAGACACCACCTGTCTGACAAAAGACACTACCTGGCTGCTGCTCTGAATGTCACACTGAGAAGCAGTCGCTGTTACCACGGAAGCATCGATCAGTAAGTAGGTGGTTGGACATGCAGAGGCCTGGTTATATTGTGCTCCTGTTAAGTATATACCACTTGTGTTTTAAAATCTGATGTAGCCCAGTGGGCATGGCTCAGTGGTTGCACATTGACCTAGGATCCAGGAGACTACGGTTTGATTCCAGGTCAGGGCACACGCCCGGGTTGCAGGCTCGATCCCCAGTCAGGGACATGCAGGAGGCAACCGATCAACGACTCCCTCATCACAGATGTTTCTCTCTCTCTCCCTCTCCCTCTCTCTGAATCAATAAAGATATATTTTAAAAAAATAGTAAAAATAAAATCCGATGTAGATGTCTCTGCGAGCAGTTAACTCCTGGTGGACAATGTCAAGCTTCTTTTATAGCCTCCAAATAACAAGCAACACAAAGAATTAAAGAAATATTTGATAAATAACCAAAAAAGGTATGACAATGTTAGGTTAAAAAAACAAGCTGCAAAACAATATACTTAGTAGCTCTCATTTGAGTAAAAATACTAAACCACAAAGAGTAATGAGTATGTGCAGAGAAAGTGCTAGGGCTACACAAGGAACTCAGAGCAGAAGTCACCTGACAAGGAGAGAGGAGGTGGGGCAGGGAGAGAGGAAAAATATGCACTTACTTCACCTGCTTCTATCCTGCCTGCATTTCTTACCATGAACAGAAATTCCTTTTATAAACATAAACTAATAAAAGTCAAATGTCTACCTGATGTTTATAAAAGCACCGTGTCACCAAAGGAAATGGGCCTGCCACCCAGGCATTCTCAGACGGAAGAGAGCAACGTTCATTTTACTTTGGACTATGGGCAAAAGGGCACTTTCTGAAATTGCTCTCCAGGTTTAAAATTTAGCCTCAGGCCACTGGCGAAGTATTTGGTAAAAACACTAGTTGGACTGGCATGTCACCATCACTTCAACCTGGGACAATCAGGAATCACCCCCCCCACAGCACCCACACAGGCCTCTCTGCGCACAATCAGCGCCATCTCTCTGGTTAAAACACTTGCAAAAAAAGTAAGGAGCGCACCACCCCTCAATCCACAGAAGAACTCTATGTGTAGATTATACGGGGTGGGAACTAAAGCTCAATTGCACCTTTTGAGAGGGTCTGTTTGTATGTTAAAATATAAGCAAATACTTACTTCCATTCATCATTTTGTCTTTAGCAAGTGGGTGTGTCGTAACTTTGCTTCCAAAACCTATTTCATGAGCCAAGAGAGCCGTAGGACCTAAAAAGATGATTAATAAAAAAGATTTAAGTACAGGTATAGAAAAACCTATGTTTTATAAATTGCAACAGCAAAACTATTCTTCAAAATCAGGAGGCTCTTACCAAAAACATACTTGTGATTCTGAAATTATACACTTCTTATAATGAGAGATAAAGTATATTTATAACAAACGACCTACTGAGTACGTCTGTCAAAAGTGCACAAGTTCAAAATACATAAAAAAAACCACTTGATCACAAAGATTCACCTTGATACCCAAGGAACACACAGATAAGCGAACTGGGGCCTGGCGTGTGTCAGGGGTACAAGCGTGGGGAGACCACTGAGGGCCAAACCTCTTGCCTTACCCTTAATAACTGAAAAGCAACTGGTACCCTCCGAAACTTCTGGGCTTCACTGCTATTTTACAGGCCATTTTTATATCTTTACTTGAGAAAAAAATATAAGCACTCATCCATCCATCCAAACATATAGGTGGTAAAACTACTGAAATAAATTTTAAAGTATTAAAACTGTCCAGCCTGGAGGAAAACCCTGTGAAATGCCTGCAAGTCTGAGGTAAGACAGCACTAGCGTTTATTAAAGCCACTTAAGAGACAAACCAGACAAACCATGAGCAAAAGTCGGTTTGTGATCCTCTCTGCCTTCCTTCCTTCTTAAAATGAAATTTTAAAAAATATGCAGTTGCTAACTTGAGGTTTTTATCAAAACGTCTTCACTGACATGGTCAATTCACTGACAATCACAAGCACGTTGCGCATGTCATGGTCCTCAAATAAGAACTAAAACCCAAATGGTTTTAAACCTTTGTTATATCACTTTAAAACTTTTTAAGTACTTATTCTGCCCTTTTTCTCTAAGCTACACACACACAAAAGACTTTCTAAGACCTCATGTACACCTAGAAAAACATGCTTTGGAACCACACCTTCCCCATGACCTCCTACATGGCTAGGGCACCGTGGCCAAGGCCCTAGGACAGTCCGTGCACAGTCCGTGCACGAGAGCTTCCGCAGACCCAGCACTTACTCTCACCTCTCATTTTGCAACATGATTCCAAGTAAAAAGCAGTTATGTAATAAACTCACAGCTACTCAGACCATAGCTGCTACGAAAGAAGATCAAACAAACAGTATGTGATTGCATAAGCTTTCTGCCAACAGGGTCAGTTTCAGACCAAGTCCTGACTTATAGCTCTTAAATCAAAAGTCTCAAATATATTGACGCCTCTCTCCACTTTACTTTTATCCTCGGCATGAGACAGCTATGTATGGCGGCCAATTTTGAAAGTCTATAAAAACTGCATAATTATCACTCAATTTTTATTTGAATGAATTCATGAATTACCCTTTATTCTTATTTTGTAAGACTTTGAGAAATAAGAAATAGTTACCTACATTATCTTCTATTTTCAAACAAACCTCAAGAGATGACTGTGCAGTGAGGAGAGTGACCATACAGCGACTTAGGAATTCTTAGGCTGCTCCTTTCAGATGGTAAAGTCACTGCCTACAGTAACGTGTCAATAAGTTTATGTTACAACTGAACACAGAAATTTACTGATGCCTTACTCATTATGGTAAGCTCTTAACTGTTGCTGTCAGGGACTTAAAAATCCTATTTGGAAAAGGAGGGAAGGGATATTTAACTACTACTATCACTTCAAATTCTGCAGGGACCCAGCTCTGAGCAGGAGGTGGGGGAACAGTAGACAGAATCCTCTTGGGCAGCCAACAGGAAGCCAAGAGCGCCACCGTGTGGTGATTTATAGAAAGAACACCACAGCCACCCCTGAGCCCTCCAAGGGTCCCCCTGAGATTGTATCTAGCCTCAGCTATCAACGACTGCTGACTCCATTTCCAGGTTTCCTTCTCCTTTCCCTTCTCCTTTCCCTTCCCCTTCCCCACCCAGAGTGAATCTCTTTATTTTACTTTCAAGATAGTCTCCCGATTTCTGTCTCTCACTCACTATTAGGGGCTAAGATAATATTCTTTCCGTTCCATAAGCAGTTCCTGATTTGTAACGGTAACACTAAGCAGCATCTTACTGTGTTTATAGGTCTGACAATTCTTGCTGACTGCGCTTCGTCCTGTGTTTTGCAGTGCCCAGGAGAGCAGTGCAGGATGCTGAGCAATACAAGCACGCTGGCAAAGTGCTGTGATTTTTAACATCGACTGAAATGACGCTAAGGTCTAGGCAGTCAAGCCTGCCTGAGCACAAAACAGTAAACCAGATGTGGCTGACAGATCTGCTATCCAGTGACACAGGACAGACTGACATGTGGTTTTGACTTTTAGCAGAGACAGAAGGCAACAGCCCAGCCCCAACCTTCCTTTCTTCCTTTGGTGAGAGCACCTAAGAATGAGGCAAATGATGTCCTCACAGTGCCTGTGCTGACCTTTCCAACTCTTTGCAAGAACGATGAGACTGCAGCTCTAACGCAAAGTCCCCAGGATCCCTAGCCTATAATTTCTTTTAAAAAGTCTACTGTATTCAACAAAACATCATTGTGCCATGTAATCCAACCCACCCATTTGTTCATTTATTTCACTCTTTTGACAAACGTTTAATAAAGACTTATCACAGGGAGGCACTGGTCAGAATTACACAGTGGGAAAAATGCAAGCGACGGCAGAATATCATCTGATATTAGAGCAAAAGTGAATTTTAAAATGGTATCAGAAATCAAAATACTACGTTTCAAAGCTGTGGGGACCTCTACAAAGCACCAATGAATGACCTTATTCTGAGTAGGTAGCAGGCGATGCGGTGCCTGGATCTAGCACTCAGCACCGAGGGTCAGGCCTCTGGAGCCCCAGGGCGAGCACAGGGCAGAGCTGTTGTGTTTATAGGTCTGACAATTCTTGCTGACTGTGCTGGCACAGATACTTCCTGGCGTGGAGATTTGCTGTAACAGCTGTTTACTGAATTCCAGAGGGCCTTACTTTCCTCCGAGGTCAATCAAACACAGAAGACACTAAGTTTCACAGAATGCCGACCAAAGGCACGAAGAAGCAGAAAACAACTACTGCACTCATTTCTGAAATGACCCCAACTTCATGCCACCCAAACCAAAAACGCCAGTCAGATGCCCTTCATCCTTTATGAAGGGAAGCAGCCCTGGGAACAAGGTCTTATAAGTAAAGGTTCCCCGTCACGTAGTTTTTGGAGAAAAGCAACACCACACTTAAACCCAAGCAGTTCTGCGTTACCTGCACAGATGGCGGCTATGAGGCCCTTCCTGTTCTCCTGTTCCTTCAGGATCTCTTTCACAGCAGCAGACTGTTCAAAGGAGAGCAGAACATGTCAAGTTCTCATTAAGCCACAAGCCAGTATCTGGCTAGAAACTTCAGTAGAATCTGATTTTAGCTTAAACCACAAGATCTTAAATCTGTTCTCCAACAATATTTCTAAATGATCAATATAAAAATTACCAAATTCATGATGTTTCTACATTCCCTCCTAAGCCCAATCAAGACACTTATAAGAGAAAGGTATCCTTTTCTTAAAGATGTCTGAAGCTGAGATGAGAAAAGCAGCTCTCCCTGGGCACAGTGCCCGCCAGCCCCCACACTCCAAGGAGAAAGAACTGGATGTGAGGAAAGGTGGGTGTTTGGGTGTTTGCAGATGGTGGCATCGGGAAGTCACACAGCCCCAAATATAGGATCCCACCTGCCTCATGAGCTTATCTGCCCTCCCTCCCCTCTTCCTGCAGACCGACTGCTCACCTGTGCCTTACAATGAAGCAGGGGCCTCTTTGACGCTGTTTTCTCATTCAGGCTGGCGGCTCTAGCCCCTGCAGCCCCTTCCCTCCACCACCCCACCCCCCGATTGCTGAGGGGACAGCTAAGCTCTTATCCTTCTGCGTGTAACCCAACAGAACACAAACTTTCTCTTCTGCTGCTGAGGGGGAAAAATGTACTCTAACGTCTGGACTGTATTCATCAAATGTGTTCATAAATGACTGTCCACCAATTCAGCTGAATGACTTCTGCAGTATATGTCACACTAGAAATGTGTGTTTTGTAAAATTAAGTTAGAATTGTTAATTCACCTGTTCCTATTTTATTCACAGCCTCCTTCCTGAAAAATTTTAATAACAAAATCAACAGAACACAAGCAGATGTTGAAACACTTTCATTATACAGTTCTTACCTCACATAAATTCTGTGCACCCAGGTTACCTCCTGGCAGAACCACTACATCGTACGGTCCCTGGAACAGTTTAAAAATAACATTTCATTTGAAATGTGCATTAAAGTGACAGTCGATAAAACTTTCATATTTTAAATATGGGTCATAGCAAAAAACTGTTAACTGAAAAGTTAGATAAATCAAGGTGTATCTCTATGATGAAATGTTGTTGTAACCAGCAAAATATGCAGAAAATCTGTATATAGTACCATGAAAGGACATCCATGTTGCAGAACTGCAGGTGTAGCATACTCTCATTCTTATAAAAACAACTGCATGTATATGCATATGCAGATGTGCATATAGATTATATACATGCACCCCCACATACATGTGCACAGTACACAGACGCTCATAGACAAAGGAGATACCCCAAATGCTAATGGGGAATGGTGTGGGATGGGGGAGGGAGGGAGAGAATGGGACATTTAACTTTTTGTTTTTAAAATATGTTTTTATTGATTTCAGAGAGAGGAAGGGAGAGGGAGAGAGAAATAGAAACATCAATGATGAGAGTCTTTGATGGGCTGCCTCCTGCATGCCCCCTACTGGAACCCGGGCACGTGGCCTGACCCAGAGTCGAACCATGACCTCCTGGTTCAAGGTCGATGCTTAACCGCTGAGCCATGTCAGCTGGGCGAGACATTTAACATTTTGATTTTATGTACGTCTATACTGTATGAGTTCTTTTGCAACAAGAATGTATACAGTAATGAAATGTAATCAAAAGAAAAACAAATTTTAAGTAAAAGGCAAAGAAAAATATTTTTAAGTTTATGAAGAATGAAACTTGGGGGAGAAATATAATGTAATATTTTAGTGTCCCAAATACCAAAACATCCTTGAAATCTAATGATTTCAAATTTGCTGAAATTACAAAACGTTTTAAAATTTTAGTCATTAAGCAAATTATAAAATGAAAATTTAATACATACTTAGAGTAACATTTGTGATTTAGGATTATTTTTAAAGACTATAAACATCCCACTGTTGTTTTAAAACCAAGCAAAACTAAACACTAAAAAGAAAATGTGTGAACTATAGAACTTCTTTTACTCCCTTTAGATTCTGAACTGACCCGCACACAGACACAAAAGGTAACAACAGGAAGAAAAAGAACAGAGAAGGAATATTTACTTGGACTATCACTTTTAACATGCTATTTAGAAAGTTTCAACAATTTATATGTAAATACCAATATTCTAATACTCCACAACCTACCACTGAAATATCTGAACTCACTAGAAAGTAATAAACTTTTTTGTATGCATCTGAGGACTGCTAAGTATGGGGACTCATGCTCCCAGGTTCCTCACAAGGACACACATGGCCATCACGAGCGGGATCTGCCTCCTTTCCTGCCAGATCTCCATGCAGGAAGGCACAGCCCACATGCCTGTCACACCGGCCGGGTAAGCCTGCACCCCATGAATGGGTGTGCAAGTATCTGTGCAACTGTGGGCGGGCATGCTTCTGAGAACAGAGACCTCAAGTTCTGACAGATTCCCAAAAGTGTTGGTCAGCCCTAACAGTGAGAACCACAATTTTGGAGATACCGAAAAAGTGACACAATTTAAGTGGAACCCCTATTCCTCCCTTAACCCAGCCACTGATTGGGTATGAGTCGTTCCACACAAAATCAATCACACAGCTGCTTCTGTATCACTGCAAAAGGAAAGGTCAAGAGTGGCTTTCGAATAAAGACACAGAAATGAATGGGAAAGCGGCAACTGATTCTCTTATATCAAGTAACGACGTTGTCACAGGAGGCAAGCTGCCTGTGTAAGCCAGAACACTGCTGCAAGTGTCCCATCCATTCACCTTCCCACCCGGCCACTTACTGAGCACACGAGGGACAAGGAAACTGCCAGGTTCCGTGTCTACCGGATGGAGAAAGTCCTCCATTTATAGGGATTATAGTGGGGAAGATATTTAAGCAAAGTAACTTTCCTAAAATAAGTCTGTGCTAACAATAGCTTTAGATGTACTTGAAAGACATTTCAAGAAACTGATAAAGAAGCCACAGGGAGCCCAGCCGGCACGGCTCAGTGGCTGAGCGTCGACCTATAAACAAGGAGGTTACTACTCGATTCCGATCAGGGCAGATGCCTGGGTTGCAGGATCAATCCCCCAGTAGGGGGCGTGCAGGAGGCAGCCAGTCAACGATTCTCTCTCATCACTGATGTTTCTCTCTCTCCCTCTCCCTGAAATCAGTAAAAATATATTTTTTACAAAAAACAAGTCACAGAGAGGAGTAATTCCAAGTATGGACAACAAACCTCTTTTTTTGCATCTTCCAGACTGGCGTCAGGACAAATGACAACATCTCGGCTGCATTGTACAGGATCTTTTCCAGCCAAACCCGCAACAGTGACCTTAATCTAAGAGAAAGACGTCATATTTAAGAACACTGAAACACAGGGTTACATTTTCGCAGCTGCCCTGTATTTAAAAATAACTCAACAAGAAATATTGCAACAAAGCCACACTGACTTTGGGCTAATAAATTGGCAAAATATATTTAATATCTAGGTCTGTCTTGGTTTGCCTGGAGTGGTGTGCTGATTCAGATGCTGTCCCAGCATCCAGTCTGGTTAATGTCCTTTCTCCCACAGGTGTTCTGGTTTGGGAGATACATTCAATGATCATTCTAATAATAACCCACCCTGCAATTACTGTTGCCCTTAAGACAAAAAGAAAAATGGCACTTTATCTTGCAAAAATTTACAAAGTTGACACCACCAAGAGCTGGAACCAGGAAAATGGGAATTTTCCTACACTGCTGGTGAGCCCAACATGTTGGTACTTTGGAGTCATTTAACAAGATATAGTAACAACAACTAGGGTCTGCTCCTTTGGCCTACCAAGTTCACTTTCAGGCACTGAGATTGGAAAAACTTCCACACATTTGCACAAGGAAGCCTGTACCAGAATATTACAGTATTGTAACGCCATGAAACAATATAATAGAAGGATGACTTTAGAAAGACAGCAGCATGTTCACAGAGTGTTAATACCAAGCAGCAATTTTAAATAAACCACCTAGATCCACATGTATCTTCACTACTGAGAACCAGAGGAGTGTAGGGTTAACAGGCTCTGGGGCCAGACAGCTAGGGTCTGAGCACTAGTTCTTCTACTTGCTAACTCTACAGTGTGGGCACTTTATTTGGTGTCCCCCGCCTCAGTTTCAACTGTAAAATGAGGATGGCAATAACTCATAGAATTGTTGTACGATTTAAATAAGTTTCTAGCCCGATCAGGTGTGGATCAGCGATTGAGCATCGACCTATGATCCAGGCGATCGGAGTTCGATTCCCGGTCAGGGCACATGCCCAGGCTGTGGGCTCAATCCCCAGTTGGGGGCATGCAGGAGGCAGCCAATCAACGACTCTCTCATCGTTGATGTTTCTATCTCTCTCTCCCTCTCCTTTCCTGACTCTGAAATCAATAAAGATATATTTTTAAAAAACACACAAGTTTCTAGAAATGCTCAGAATGATACCTACACTCAGTAAATGCTATTTAAGTGATCACTATCGTTATATACTACACACACAGATAAATAATACAGACGTGCAAGAGGAGAATTAGTCTACTGCTACTTTATCCCTGGGGTCAGAAGGGGAACAGGGTTGGGGAAACTGACAGAGGGCTTTGCAATGCTTTATCTCCTTAAAGTGTCTGTTTTTCAAGAAATGCTCTGAAGGAAACAGGGCAAAATGTTAACAAGTGTTAAATGCAGATGGTGGATAAACAGGTAATTATTATGCAGTCTGTTATGTTTGAAATATTTCATAAAGCAAGTTGAATATTATTTTATTCAAAATGACTTTAAAAAATCAAACAAGGATTTTAAAAGGGGGAGGGCTAGAAAACGTCGCGGGACTTACTCCAGCTCGTCTCATGACATCTACAGGGATGACCGTCTCCATCTCCTCTGCTCCTTTAGCCAGGATGACCAGAGCTCTTTTTGAAGCCATTTTTATGCTGTATTTTTTTAAAGACTTAATTTAAAAAAAAGAAGAAAAAAAAAGATTTTCAAAAAACTTTCACGCCCTGGGATAGCCCAAATTTTAAGGTTTAGGAACATTTTTAAGCAGAGTAACTAAGTGCCTCCCTGGGAAAAAGTTCTGATAGGCAAACACAACTAAATAGGAAAAAAGCTTTTAGATTAATACTGGTTTACACAGAATTTCAACTGCTGTGTTTTTGAGATAAAAACACAGTCCAGTTGCTAACCTCTGTTCGTATTAATGTCTCTTACCCTGTTTTTTTTTTTTTTTAATCCAATTTCTAATAATATATTGCCAACGAAATTTTCTAAAACACAAGGCCGCTGGGTCTTGGATTTCACACCATTTTGTGGGCAAAAAAAAAACACAACTAAATTAGCCGGTAAATTTTTGGAGGGGATTTTCTTTTCTTCCAGTTCTGATAACTGCTAAAAATTCGGAGCGGGGGTGGGGGTGCGTTAACAGTGTTAAATACTTGAAGACACGTTTTCTGCGGCGGCGGACGACGGGAATCCCCTCCCTGCACACCCGCCTGATCTCGCACTGTAAACGGCTGCTACCCCGGCGCCCGGGCCGACTCGGGCCTGTTCTTTTTCTGGACAATCTGTCGTCCGTGCAAAACACATCGTAATGAAACGGTTTCAACACACACAGGATTAACTAGTTCCGAACTGGCGGGATGCTATGCACACGAGCTGGGAAGCTGCAGCGCCGCCTACCAGGCCGCGCGGTCCTCGGCC